ACAAATAAAAGAATAGATACTCAGAAGGACTGGGTAAGCAACACATCAGAGACTATATGGAGTACTGTTAACCAGCAAGAAATGAAGTCACAAGTATGTAACTTTGATGTGGGATATTAAAATGTGTGCAAAAAAAGCATATTAATTACAACTTCTGAAAGGGGAAGGTTCGAGGCTTCAGTCACAAGTTGGGAAGGAGAATGTAGGAAAAATCAGCAGCAGAACAACTAAAAGTTCAATCTAGTTACTAAAGGGCCATTTTACAACACAATAGACTTGGAAATAGTATAGTTGAGCAGCATGCATCGGGGGTGAATACATTTGTGAGAAGAAAAGGGGATCAACAACTGTGACATACAGTACTGTTCTACATGGAAAGCAAGTGACCCTAATGATAGTAAGCTAAAGGGCAGAAAGGCTGGAGTTGTGGGGGGACAAAAAGGTCTCGACTTGAAGGTTTGAGGAGGGAGGTGCCCAGGGGGTACGAGAGGATCTTGACTTACTGGCAGGAGAGCCCTGTGGTGAAGCCACCAGAGCGGGCAGCTCTTCCCCGGCACTGCACTGACTCATCACGGCACTGTCACTGCTCGCTCCCTGCGCACTCTCGGCTGGCACAGCCCCAAAACCACACGCCACCAGGAGGAAAAACACACACATCTCTCATGTCCTTCACCAGCCGAAACACACTAACAAAAACCACACCAATGCTGGCACTTCATCATGACTAAATAGCTTAACGGGCACGAAGACGCTGGATGGGATGAGCTGTTAGATGAGCTGTTCTCAATATAAGAAGCACTGTGTTTATGGGAGCAGGACTACAGGTGATGATCCTGGATTTTCCAGTGGAGTTATGAGAGATGGTCTGTATCTATGGGTGTGGTGAAGCTGAATCGTGTTTGTTGTGCTTGGACAACAGCGCGCTCAGAGATTGTTTCTCCAGGCTCCGCGCCAATTTCCTGTCCTCATCACCTAACCTCAGAAGTGACGGAGCTAATGATAAGGCTCTTTAAGCCGCTATTGTCCGTCCAGGCCCGGAGTGAATAAGGAGAGGAAATGAATTCGAGCCTGGCCTTTTTCATGACAGAAAACGGTATCGGCGAGAGTCCCAACAAGAAAAACACGCCAGTTCACAACATGCTAATGAATTTACAAGACACAGCGCATCCACAAACATCTAAATAAGTGGGGTAAAAAACACAGAACACACACACACGCACAAAATCTACAAGGAAACCTACTGAGACACAGACGGCTTTAAGACAGATGTGTGCATGTATATATCAATTCACTTGAACTTGGCTCATTTGTGTGACAATGACAAACGGTGTGAGTGATCTGACATAGAGATGCTATTCAGATGGGACTAGTTTTCCCTGAGGACATCGGGTAAGGTTTTATACTGAATTTATTTCAGTTTGAATTGATCATGTCTCTGTTTGTCTGTCTTGAAATTCAAAGAAATCTAATCCCATCCAAACAGGAATGTTTGTGAATACACTTTTTTTTTTTGAGAGTTTACCCTAATTTACTTTGTTGAATACTGTAAACTCTAAATCTCTCTGGTGCACCTTCACTATCTCTAAGCTAGCAATTTAGCTGAAAACACAAAGGGTTGTGCCATCATGCATGTTAAACGTTTAAATCACAATCCATCTAACCCCATCTCAATGCCCTCTACCGTAATTCCCCTCCTGTGCGTTCATCGCCCTGTCTTCAAATCACAAAGCCTCAGGTGTCACTGCAGGCTCACGTTTTTATATTTCAAACAGATACTGACTGACGTGACATGTATTTTGTTTAATCAAAGGCTTTTTGGTGTGTTTCGGTACTGTGATCAGACAGGAGAGGGATTACTCTTCTGACAGTGCTGGAGGCATGCAGAGAAGAGGAGAGAAGATCTGTGTACCTTTCCTACCTTTCATATCCTCTTCCTCATTGGTGTTACAGCTCTCTGTGGAGCCCTGGGGACAGAAACAGAAACAGACAAAAACATACAAGACAAACAAAACATGAGACGTGAAAGAATAGCAGCATTAGGTTATGTCTCTATAATACTTCCAGAATTAGGACCCTCATGATTCAACACGTTTTTGATTCTAAGAATGATTCTTGATCATCTTAAGTGAAACATTAATTTATCATAATGTTACATTAATATATTGAGTTATAATAACACCACCACCCACAATTCAACTTGTTTTTCGTTCAAAGAGAACAATTACAAAATAATGATTGATACATCTTAATTTTTAATATTTTGCAACAGTGAAGGCTCACAAATCTTTTGCAAGTTTTATAATAATTATTATTAGCAGGAGAAACATTAATTTATCATAATGTTACATTAATATATTGAGTTATAATAACACCACCACCCACAATTCAACTTGTTTTTCGTTCAAAGAGAACAATTACAAAAAATGATTGATACATCTTAATTTTTAATATTTTGCAACAGTGAAGGCTCACAAATCTTTTGCAAGTTTTATAATAATTATTATTAGCAGGGTTATTATTATTATTAACTAAAACCAAAACCATAAAAAAGTCTTTGAAATAAGTGTACTGAAATTAAAATAAACTGAAAACTGACACCAGATAAAATATATAAAAAAAATAACCTGAAATGAAAAATATATATAAAAAATATATATATATAAATGCAAAATATAAACTATAACAGTATGTTAATAATATTAATACTGATTATTAGGCCCAAAAATCTTTTGCGATTTAATAAAACAAAAACTAAATTTTAAAATGCAATAAGAACCATTTAATTTGATCAGTCAAGATTCATTTAGAAAAACAGTGCAAAAGTGCAATTTGTGAATCGATTCTCCATCCCTCTTCCAAATGCTCTTGAAAAATGTACCTTGGGTCCATCGACAGGGTTGTGCACAACTGTTGTTTGTGGCTCCTGTAAAATTTTACAAGATTTTACATCATGATTAAAGTAGTAAGACTCATCCACAACAATCTGGTTAAACGCAACATCCTGCAGGAACAAACACACACACTTTTAAAGCTGCTGTGACTGTCCTGGCTAAGACACAAATTGAGGATTCTGAGATCAAATAAAGAAATAATGATCTAAATAGACAATTACTTTATGAGGAAATGAACACAAGGTTGAGGTTCATGATGAGCTTGAAGAACAAACCGACCACACACGTACACTTGTAAAAATAATAAATGGCATGCGTCATGATGATTTAAAGATGCAGTTTCTCAAGATTCAACTGAAATTCTGCTGAAACCACAGGAATGGAGAGGACTGTCCTGGCTAAGACACAAATTGAGGATTCTGAGATCAAATAAAGAAATAATGATCTAAATAGACAATTACTTTATGAGGAAATGAACACAAGGTTGAGGTTCATGATGAGCTTGAAGAACAAACCGACCACACACGTACACTTGTAAAAATAATAAATGGCATGCGTCATGATTTAAAGATGCAGTTTCTCAAGATTCAACTGAAATTCTGCTGAAACCACAGGAATGGAGAATCATAAAAGGAAAAGATCCACCTTGAAGTCAAGCAATTTCTGGATTATATCCACTATGGTTTTCCTCAGATTAACTTCCAGTTATTCTCACAAATGTTGTGACCCAATTAAACCCTCAAAAAAGTAGCCTTTTTGTCTGATAGCCCAGTGGTTGCTAGCTGTCCATCAGCACTGCGGAGGCATTTTGAGGCCTCAGGAGGGGTCGAGGGTTAACTTGTGCTCTTAATGGATTGTTTTGGAGGTCCCAGGATGCTCTTTGCACAGCTATTTGGGCAGTCAAGCAAACAAGGCCCATGTGAAGTGTCAATCCACTTTCCTTTTTTTAAACCTCCAGGGGACACTGCTAGTTTCCAACACGACCAAACGGCTGACAGCTTTCTGTGTGGGATACTGCATCTTTACTGTGACTGGTTTATGCACTCCGACACAAATTACCATGTTATTTGCCGAAATACATATATTTATTCTATTCTGTATGGTGACTTGGCTCAAATTCTTGTCTTACTGGATATTTCTAAGCACCATGTATGTACAGTTAACTGTTAAATGTCACAGCCAGTCTCGTTCGATGACTATATTTTGTTTGTACTTGTAATAGAGGTGTGAATACGCCTACAAAGGCAAACTAAGGACAAGAAGAGTGAGGCAGGACATAAACCAGCAGCTTACGGGCAAGAACAAAATCACTCCTAATGACACGTTTATAAAACACCAGACGTGCTTCGAGAGGAGACGAGCCCTCCAAAAAACACATAAGGGAAAAACAAGTAGTGCACAGCAAACTACAGGTCTGAGCTATTTTTAGTACATGCAAAACGGTTTCAAAAACATTATTGCAAACACTTGATCATGTACTATGGGATACTGTCAGATGAGTAGATGGGTTACAAAAAGAGTTAAATGTAGATGAGGTACCATCGGTGTAGAAGCGGTCGTGTTGCTTTCTTTCATGGCGTTCACTACAGCGCTCACTACACTGTTTTTAGTGTTGTTTGTCTGGGGCTGAAATAGAGAGGACAGATACAACTTCCTTTTCAGAGAGATGACATTACTAGGGATATGATCGGAGCCGATCCTCCTATGTCAGTCATGGTAGTTAGAAATCACACAACAGATGAATAGCATATGCCAGGAAGATGTCTCTACAAAGTTATCCATCATTCAGAGAGAAAGCGACGAATACTAATGGACATTTCATGGAATACTGTGTCAAAAGTATTATAATACAGTCTGATAACACATGGGTTACACTACTACTAAATAACTTCAGAGCGCAAGACTTCTGTAGCAAAGCACAAAGTACTGCCTTAATGCAGCAATATGGTTTTATTAAAAAGTGGCGTTTAGTTTAAAACCCATTAATGGAAAGTTCTGGTAGAGATGGGAACCTCAAAAGGCTGCTGAAAAGATTAAAACATCTCAATCTCCAGGAGAAAGTAGGTATATAAGGAAAATACCTTGACTCCATCTGCCTTTTTGTTGAGTAAACTTTTGCATGCTGTAGGGAACAGAGAAAGACTTAATTATTACATACAGCGTGAGTGACAAAACTGACAGAATGCTCACATCTGCACATATTTCAAATAAATCCCCATATAAAACAATTAACAAACTGCTGGCTTGCATTCCGTCATTCATTAGCATAGAGGGTTTGGGAGGTAATGCTGACTAGCATCATTTTTCACTACAGGAGACATTTCTCACAGATATATATATATATATATATATATATATATATATATATATATATATATATATATATATATATATATATATATATATATATATATATATATATATATATATATATATATATCTCTGTTTAATACAAAGGCATATAAAGCTTTGTGAGATTAAGGTAATAGTATCTTATAAATAAATAACTTGCTGCAAATAAAATAAAACTTTAAAGGGGTCATATCTTGAATAAAATTGTCTTTGATCTTTAAGAGAGATCATTGAAATACTGTACTGTATAAAAACGTATTGTAATTTCAAACTCAAGAAACAAACGAGTAGAAACAAGAAGCTGCAGATGTCAAAAGTGGCAAAAGTCACAAAAAGTGACCTTTAAAAAAAAGGTTTCTACAAAAATATTAAGCAGCACAACTGTTTTTAACATTGATAATAATGAGAAATGTTTCTTCTCACCAAATCAGCTTATTAGGATGATTTCTGAAGGATCATGAAGACTGGAGTAATGGCTGCTGAAAGTTCAGCTTTACCATCATAGGAATAAATTACATGTAAAATGTTTTAAATAAAATATAAAAGTTATTTTAAATTATGATATCTCACAATATTAATGTTTTTACTATACATTTTATCAAATAAATACAGCCTTGGTGAGAATAAAAGACTTCTTTCAAAAACATTGAAAAAATATTTTGAAAATTTATGAAAAAAGTATTCATAAATGCATATAAAATCAATTAAGTATTCACATTTGAGGGGGTGTTTCTTAAAGCAACAGCAGCGCACACACACAGACAAAAAAACAATTCCTGCTTAATTTTAATGCTCAGAGCAAGTGTGGAAAATGATGAAATTATAGATATTACCCAAATTATGACAGTTTTTGTGGCAAAAAAGGGAAAAAACATTACTAATATTTTACTAAAATAAGATAACCCCAGCGTGGAAGATAAAAATGCATGATATAACCCCTTTAAAAATAACCAATTGCACACACTTGGAATAAATTGCCCCTTTTATTCGATTTTTCACCAATCAGAGAGCAGATAAAGAGAATACATTTATTCTCCATTTGCTGCTGCAGGTGTAATGAGGGAAAATCATGCCTAATGTATGCAATTGATTTTTCCTTTAACTGCTTTAACTGTTATTTCCCAGAGGGCATGTTGGAGAGGTCTTGAGACAGTGTAAGGGAAATGGCCCCCAATACACTTCAGAATCCCTCAGAGAACAATCAAATGACTTGTGTAAGGCCTGTAAAACCTCAATAACAGAAAAAAACTAAAAACTCAGGTTTCACATTCGATATTCCTGTTTAGCGCCTTACCTTCCATAAACATATGGGAAGAAAAGATGGCAAGGTTAAGAAGAAAACAAAAACCATTTAGTAACAGAGAGGACAAGCTGGACGATAGCAGGCATTGTTTGCATTGCAGGCCTGCTTTCATGCTTCACTAATCATGAGGTGAGAGGTGCTGGTGGTGGATGCAATTCACCATACGGTCTGCCATGCAGTGCCACGAGTCCCATAATGCAATGCACTGATGAAGGAGTCATAAAGCTAGACCTCAACTCATTACCATTCCACTGTCTCTCACATATCTAACTATGTCTCATGGGATTCACAGACTGTGATTGGGAAAGCTTAGTCAGCAGTCTTCCGTTATACAGCGCAATAATCAAATGGATTTGGGATCCCAGGACACTGCAGTCATACTGATGCTGAGTGGAAATAAATTATAGAGGGAGGAAGAAATCATTTTCAAACAAAGATTAGACGATAATATTTTGCAAAAATATTCAAAAAGATCATGTGGCATCCTTTTGCAGTTTAAATAACAGGGGTGAACAGATAAATCAAATTTCAATGCAATGATTACAGAATTTAATAACTGCATAATGCGTTAAGTGCACAATTCTTGAGCTATTTTCTGTTGTAAATATCCACTAAATCCAAATCAGCAATCTAAACATTTTATCATGTTTTTTTCTTCACATAATCATACCAAAATAATTCAATCTTGATTTTCAAATTTCAAATGTTATGATGTGCTGAATGAATAAGTAAAGAATAATAGCTGAATCAAAGTCGGATCAAATATTCACACCCCTATTAAATAATGCTTCAGGCTTCAGAAGGTGAAAAGGTCTTTGAGACGGCATATTGAACTAGTAAAATCCATTACGACAGCCATTAAAAGATTCAATACACCTTTAAATCAGAAGTGTGCAAGCAACAAATTATATATTAGAGATTTACAGGCAACACAGCCGACATAATAACATGCCTTATCTTCATAACCTATTGGACAGTAAATCTTATCTTGGTCATACAATGAAAAGCTCTTAAACAAAGAATGAAGAAACATTGATGAAATGTCATTACTGGTTATTGGTTAACATCTTACATCAACTGGAGGACTGGCTTTAACAACAGCAGAATATAAAGAGTTATAAACACTTACAGTACTAGTTGAAGCCAAGAACTGATGGAGAGCATTGATTGGACGGCTCAAAAGAACATTAAAGGAACATTCCAGGTTAAATACAACTTTAAACTCAATGACTTGTCCTTCAGTTAGTAAAAAGAATAGAAATGTCTACAGTAATGCCCTTCCAATGGGATTTTCGGTGGAAGTTGAGGTCACAAATATAGTCCATAGAACTAAAATCAAGAAATATTTAAAATTATTAAAATTTTGTTCAAACAGTGAGTCAAGAGTGCGTTTTCCTAGCAGCATCAAGGTTTTGTACTTCTTTAATAGGAATGCTAACGGACAGGTATTTTAGTGCTCCTGAATCATGTATAGTATAAATTATATATTAGAGATTTACAGGCAACACAGCCGACATAATAACATGCCTTATCTTCATAACCTATTGGACAGTAAATCTTATCTTGGTCATACAATGAAAAGCTCTTAAACAAAGAATGAAGAAACATTGATGAAATGTCATTACTGGTTATTGGTTAACATCTTACATCAACTGGAGGACTGGCTTTAACAACAGCAGAATATAAAGAGTTATAAACACTTACAGTACTAGTTGAAGCCAAGAACTGATGGAGAGCATTGATTGGGCGGCTCAAAAGAACATTAAAGGAACATTCCAGGTTAAATACAACTTTAAACTCAATGACTTGTCCTTCAGTTAGTAAAAAGAATAGAAATGTCTACAGTAATGCCCTTCCAATGGGATTTTCGGTGGTAGTTGAGGTCACAAATATAGTCCATAGAACTAAAATCAAGAAATATTTAAAATTATTTGTTAAAATAAAAATTAAAAATTTTGTTCAAACAGTGAGTCAAGAGTGCGTTTTCCTAGCAGCATCAAGGTTTTGTACTTCTTTAATAGGAATGCTAACGGACAGGTATTTTAGTGCTCCTGAATCATGTATAGTATACATACTGCAGAAATAGTAAGAGAAGACTCTAACCTATAACTAACAACCACAACAACTGAAACATTACATTTTCACAGGTTCAATAATACAGCAAAGGGCTCTTGTTAGGTTTCCATAATCCTGGAGGATCTGAACTGATGCTGCAATTTTTCTTAATTGTTCTCCTTTGACCATTACGTACATACGAAGTATTCTCGCAACGCTGATGGCTGCTCAGACACAGCTTGTTGAAAATGGCAGCTGGCTGACATTTACTGAAACTGACAAGACAGATGTCTCGCACTTCGGAAAGAGTGAGACAATTCAATTTGATCAGACAACACAACTGGAACCAGAGATCTCCTCTCCACTTTCTCCTGACTCAGACACTGTCAACAGTGTTGTCCATCTGCCCTCCAGAGGGCCTCCTTCCCCGCAGACCACCTGGCGCTCAGCGGACCCTTCCGCCGGCTACATGGGGTCTGACGACTGGCAGCAAGCCAACCCCGCTCCTGCCCGTCCGTGTGGTTAAGCCCCTGCGCTCTTGGCGACGGGAGAAGGAAGAGTTGAAAGGAGAGTGGTAGGGCAATGGTGGCTTGGCTAGGCTGCAAGGGTCTGCTTTAGTTGATGACACAGGACACCGATCTAAAAATCTCCATCCCCTCCAAAGAGACATGAGAGCACAGACACGTGACCGGGGTCCTATATCTGCAGCTAAAGCAGACTTCACTTAAATGCTATTTAACCCAATAGCACAAAACACCAGTAAGCTGATCAGCAGGGAAGGAGGGAGCCAAAAAGGGCTGAAGCAATTCAACCAAGAAGGACAGAGCGAGAGAGAGTGAGAGGAAAAAAAAGAAAGAGAAAGTCTAATCAAAGAAGGAGCAGCAACATTTGCATTTTTACTCCATGCAGACGATAATGCATGCCGGCCGATGGTGGGTCTCATGGTGGCGATCGTTAACATGAATGCAGTGCTGCGCTATTGATTGGATTGTTTTGCCTAGAGCCGCTGTGTGTAAATTGAACCAGGGACAGTTGCGAGATGAAACAAGACATTGTTTGTTCACGCATATATAAAAAGAGCCGATCTATGCCGACGGATAAATGAATAGATCATTTGAAAGCTGAACAAAAGCTATAATACTTCAAATGTCGCTATAAGAGTCATTCTCAAAACATGGTAACAAACACTGATCAGTCGAATCAGTCAAATAATTAACAAATCCCACTCAAATCATTCTATGTAACTGAAAACTTTATTAAATACTGAAAAATAGTTTCACTTTTGAGTATTTTTCTTAAAAGAGATGAATTTGCCAGATGCCTAGTACACCACTTCTATGAAATTTGCAGTAACAGCAAATGGAGATTTGGCCACCAAATTGAGCAGTTAATTTGACTTTTTAATTAAATTAAATATTTCACAAGTATAATTTACATTGGATTAAATACATTATTTAAATAATATGCGAGTTGTGTGAGTTGAGAGGCATTATTTTAAAAAACGTAATATAATATAATATGAAATTCAACATTTTTGAGAATGACCCATATCTGTCCTGTAGCATTAACAATTCTTTCATTGATTCGACCCATTTTAGAGGACTGAACCTGCTCTAATACTTCTTACAACTATAGGGTTAAAAGCTAGCTAGATGATTGTTAAAGTTACATGGTCATGTAAAAGCAAAGCAATATAAAAACATGGTTGAAAAAAATGACATGCTATCCCATATACTCCTACACATCGCTCAAATGCACGACGTGTATGTGAGAGATGGAAATTCAGCAGGCCACTATCCTTTTAAAAGTGAGAACTTCTCCAAGACTACATAGCAGACGAGAGTGAAGACCAAATAATTTATGCAAGTAATGGAAAGAGAGGCAGGCTTCTTATTGGCTGCATGCTGATTGGGTAGAGCAGAGGGAGGGCGGGGGTTTGGAGGCATTGTGGAGGGGGCTCGCTGGTCCCCCTGGTGGCGAGGTGAGGAAATGCACTCTCACATACCTTCCTGTGCAAGGGCAGCAGTGCTTGTGGTGGGAGCAGCAGGGCTGGTATGCTGCCGGCCCACTATTGGACAGAGAGGCGTTGAGTTGGGAGAAGTTATGGAACTGTATTCAAACCCTCTACTGAACAAATTACCTTTGTTTATTATAAGGAAACAAGGTCTAGAATAAAAACGAAAAGCTAAAGCTTTCAAACCTGCTATATCACCTGCACAAACCGTAAACATCTTCTGTTCAGGAAGTAAACTGATATTAAACTGAAAAGAAAGTTACGGATATTCCTTTACTGCCTTAGCTCAAAAAATCCAAAAGTTTCTACTCCTGTAATCCAAAGCTCTAGATCCCAAGTGAATTCTCCTTCCATTTAATTACCAAGCCAGCCGTTCGAGATCTGTTTTTATAGTGAAAACTGGAGTAAGACTTCAAGAGGTGGGCAAAGTTCATCCATGACTTTGCACTTTCCTACCTGATCCCAGGAGAATGAGGGAACTCACCTGAGAAGTTTCTAGAAACCAGCATAGTAGTGAGAATGGCTCCCTGAACAAAGACAGAGAAAAATGGAGTGTTTAGTCCATGGCAACAGGACTTTCAGCACTAATTACCCAAGGGAAGAAGACTGGAGTTAGTCTAAGGGTCCTTCAAACCCATGCTGTACCTTGAGTTTTCTGCGAGCATTGAACTTGCGCAAGCACTCCACGGTCTCTTGGCGATGCATCATGGATGCCACTGTGGACCGTTGCTGAAATGAGCAAATGCAAGACAGAGAAAAATATTGCACATCAGCATTATCTAAGTATTTGAACCAATTAAAGGGATAGTTCATCCAAAAATGAACAGTCTTTCATTATTTATCCACCCTCAACTGGTCCCGTAAGACTTTCATTCTTGTATGGAACACTAAATAACACTTAACAAACCTAACAATATACTTGTCACCATTAAATGAATTGTGAGTTTGCTTTGATCAGACATTGTGATAATTAATGACAATTGTTCTCATTTGAGAAATTATGTTTTACATTTCACCCTGACTGATTTTTCGTAACTCTTGAAATCTGGCAACCCCTGGAGTCCAGTTATCAATGCAAGTTAATGTCAAATGAAGAAATAAATGTTTTTAGGATAAATAACTATTGGGCAAATCTCGCAGATGATTATGCTTAATTAATCAAAAAAAGCAGAAATGATCATGCATAAAATGTGATTATTCGTGCAGCCCCAGTGCTTCTGCACTATTTTTGAAGCTTGAAAGCTCCAGTCCCGATTCACTGACGTTGTAACGTAAGGAGCAACCGGCACTTTACTCAAAAGTTCTCCAAAGTCATACAGGTTTGAAACAAGATGTGTAAGTAAATAAGAATTTTCATACTGAATGCACTATTCCTTAGCTATTACCTATTCTGAGAGAACAAAATATGTGAATGTGAAAGCTGCATTTCATATTAAACTCTAAAAGAGCTCAGATTCCCCCAGTAGATTTTTCTTGCTTGGAGCTTGTGGAAAATGTAGAGATAACTCGGCAGAGATAACTTACGCAGACCCATGGGTGCTTGAGGGCCTGCTCTGAGGTGATTCTCTTAGCTGGGTTGATGGTCAGCATTTGGTTGATGAGGTTCTTGGCCTCGGGGGTGACCGTGTCCCACTCCGGAGAAGGAAACTGTGGGGGCAAGAATCATGAGTGAGCGTTAGATATGCAATCTAAATGCAGAAGCAAGCCTAGAGAGCTTTTCACACCACAAGATGTACTGACACACATACAGAGCGGTCTGCACCGGGGCCTAATGAAATTAAACGTATCACAAGGCAGTGTACAGGATCCAATGAGTCACGGCAGTCAGTCCTTCTATTGTCGGCCTATTCGGCACGGCTGGTGCTTGAAACATGTTGCTTGCGCATTTCACACCTCATGGCTTCATTGCAGCCCATAACTAGAGAAAATTGCAGTTGTAATTAGCCAATAAAAAGCTGTGTCTGTATCCGTGTTAAATGTGTGTCACACCTCCTCTTTCGTACCAGGAGATCTTAATGTGGCCGTTACAAATCCTTTGTCTGTTCCAAGAAAACCTTGGGCAGGTTCCAGGAAGTATAATTTGTTTTGCGCATCAAGCTGTGTTGCATCAGCTAAAACGAGCGTGTGGATTGTACTTAGAAACACCGCAGGTGCTCGTAAGTCCTTACACACACTGATTCAGCTGCGCTTTTGGCTCAGGGCACTGTTAATACATGTCATGGGTGGGGCGTTTCTGCACCGCTGTGCGCTGCTTCAGCAAAGACGGCCACTCAGGATTGCGGATGGCGCATCCAAATGTGAACACATGGCCAGAAGGCGCAGTGACAGACGTTGGTAACGGATGATGAAGCACAACTCTACACTTCATTGATTGTGGTCACATGACGGAAGGTTACTAGAGTACAAAACAAAGAAGCAAGCTCACTGCGAGGTTTCCCAAGTTGAAGTATATATTGTGCGTCAATAGCAATGTGTCAGCCTGTCGAGATTTGGAATAACATTTATTCTATGGTAGATACGTATATTACCACTGCTGTTGGGCAGAGACTGCTTTATACTATTTACATATAAAAAATAAAATAAAGAAAAAAGCCAACAAGAAGGAATCATCCAATTAGAAATTAGTAATTAAGTAATTCATACTTAGTACTTAGTAATTCGTACGGCTGCATGCTGATTGGGTAGAGCAGAGGGAGGGCGGGGGTTTGGAGGCATTGTGGAGGGGGCTCGCTGGTCCCCCTGGTGGCGAGGTGAGGAAATGCACTCTCACATACCTTCCTGTGCAAGGGCAGCAGTGCTTGTGGTGGGAGCAGCAGGGCTGGTATGCTGCCGGCCCACTATTGGACAGAGAGGCGTTGAGTTGGGAGAAGTTATGGAACTGTATTCAAACCCTCTACTGAACAAATTACCTTTGTTTATTATAAGGAAACAAGGTCTAGAATAAAAACGAAAAGCTAAAGCTTTCAAACCTGCTATATCACCTGCACAAACCGTAAACATCTTCTGTTCAGGAAGTAAACTGATATTAAACTGAAAAGAAAGTTACGGATATTCCTTTACTGCCTTAGCTCAAAAAATCCAAAAGTTTCTACTCCTGTAATCCAAAGCTCTAGATCCCAAGTGAATTCTCCTTCCATTTAATTACCAAGCCAGCCGTTCGAGATCTGTTTTTATAGTGAAAACTGGAGTAAGACTTCAAGAGGTGGGCAAAGTTCATCCATGACTTTGCACTTTCCTACCTGATCCCAGGAGAATGAGGGAACTCACCTGAGAAGTTTCTAGAAACCAGCATAGTAGTGAGAATGGCTCCCTGAACAAAGACAGAGAAAAATGGAGTGTTTAGTCCATGGCAACAGGACTTTCAGCACTAATTACCCAAGGGAAGAAGACTGGAGTTAGTCTAAGGGTCCTTCAAACCCATGCTGTACCTTGAGTTTTCTGCGAGCATTGAACTTGCGCAAGCACTCCACGGTCTCTTGGCGATGCATCATGGATGCCACTGTGGACCGTTGCTGAAATGAGCAAATGCAAGACAGAGAAAAATATTGCACATCAGCATTATCTAAGTATTTGAACCAATTAAAGGGATAGTTCATCCAAAAATGAACAGTCTTTCATTATTTATCCACCCTCAACTGGTCCCGTATGACTTTCATTCTTGTATGGAACACTAAATAACACTTAACAAACCTAACAATATACTTGTCACCATTAAATGAATTGTGAGTTTGCTTTGATCAGACATTGTGATAATTAATGACAATTGTTTTCATTTGAGAAATTATGTTTTACATTTCACCCTGAGTGGGGGATTTAAACTCTTGAAATCTGGCAACCCCTGGAGTCCAGTTATCAATGCAAGTTAATGTCAAATGAAGAAATAAATGTTTTTAGGATAAATAACTATTGGGCAAATCTCGCAGATGATTATGCTTAATTAATCAAAAAAAGCAGAAATGATCATGCATAAAATGTGATTATTCGTGCAGCCCCAGTGCTTCTGCACTATTTTTGAAGCTTGAAAGCTCCAGTCCCGATTCACTGACGTTGTAACGTAAGGAGCAACCGGCACTTTACTCAAAAGTTCTCCAAAGTCATACAGGTTTGAAACAAGATGTGTAAGTAAATAAGAATTTTCATACTGAATGCACTATTCCTTAGCTATTACCTATTCTGAGAGAACAAAATATGTGAATGTGAAAGCTGCATTTCATATTAAACTCTAAAAGAGCTCAGATTCCCCCAGTAGATTTTTCTTGCTTGGAGCTTGTGGAAAATGTAGAGATAACTCGGCAGAGATAACTTACGCAGACCCATGGGTGCTTGAGGGCCTGCTCTGAGGTGATTCTCTTAGCTGGGTTGATGGTCAGCATTTGGTTGATGAGGTTCTTGGCCTCGGGGGTGACCGTGTCCCACTCCGGAGAAGGAAACTGTGGGGGCAAGAATCATGAGTGAGCGTTAGATATGCAATCTAAATGCAGAAGCAAGCCTAGAGAGCTTTTCACACCACAAGATGTACTGACACACATACAGAGCGGTCTGCACCGGGGCCTAATGAAATTAAACGTATCACAAGGCAGTGTACAGGATCCAATGAGTCACGGCAGTCAGTCCTTCTATTGTCGGCCTATTCGGCACGGCTGGTGCTTGAAACATGTTGCTTGCGCATTTCACACCTCATGGCTTCATTGCAGCCCATAACTAGAGAAAATTGCAGTTGTAATTAGCCAATAAAAAGCTGTGTCTGTATCCGTGTTAAATGTGTGTCACACCTCCTCTTTCGTACCAGAAGATCTTAATGTGGCCGTTACAAATCCTTTGACTGTTCCATGAAAACCTTGGGCAGGTTCCAGGAAGTATAATTTGTTTTGCGCATCAAGCTGTGTTGCATCAGCTAAAACGAGCGTGTGGATTGTACTTAGAAACACCGCAGGTGCTCGTAAGTCCTTACACACACTGATTCAGCTGCGCTTTTGGCTCAGGGCACTGTTAATACATGTCATGGGTGGGGCGTTTCTGCACCGCTGTGCGCTGCTTCAGCAAAGACGGCCACTCAGGATTGCGGATGGCGCATCCAAATGTGAACACATGGCCAGAAGGCGCAGTGACAGACGTTGGTAACGGATGATGAAGCACAACTCTACACTTCATTGATTGTGGTCACATGACGGAAGGTTACTAGAGTACAAAACAAAGAAGCAAGTTCACTGCGAGGTTTCCCAAGTTGAAGTATATATTGTGCGTCAATAGCAATGTGTCAGCCTGTCGAGATTTGGAATAACATTTATTCTATGGTAGATACGTATATTACCACTGCTGTTGGGCAGAGACTGCTTTATACTATTTACATATAAAAAATAAAATAAAGAAAAAAGCCAACAAGAAGGAATCATCCAATTAGAAATTAGTAATTAAGTAATTCATACTTAGTACTTAGTAATTCGTACACACACAATGTACACACAGACTTTTATTTTGGAAGCGATTAATTGCGATTAATCGATTTTACATCCCTAAGTGACAGTTAAAACATTTACAAATGTTGCAAAAGACTTCTATTTCAAATAAATGTGTGTCTTTTGAACTTTCTATTAATCAAAGAAATTTGAAAAGATGTTATAGCTTTTTACAAAATATTAAGCAGAACAACTGTTTATAGCACATTTGACATTGACGACTGTAATATAATGGCTGCAAAAAATTCAGCTTTGCCATAACAGGAATAAATACAATTTTAAATGTATTAAAATGGAAAGCAGCTATTTAAAATTCTCATCATATTACTGTTTTTACTGTATTTTTGATCAGCCGTGGTGAGCATTAGAGACTTCTTTCAAAAACATAAAAAAGAAAATTGTACTAACCCCAAACATTTGAATGGTAGTGTATTTATCGTTTTTGCACTGCTTATTCTTTGATTCATCAATAATCATATTTCTTTTTTCTTTAATTTCCAAATACTAAGAGAAAATAATCAAATGAGATTTTAAAAAAAACATTATTCCTGATCTTAACTCTTTACCGGCACATTATATTTAATATCTCTATACCAGGGATCTTCAACAGTTCCTTGTTCAGTTAACAGTTTCCTTCCCAAATTAAAGCATATTAAGTATAATAAAGAATATAATGTCCAACTATATGACTCTGATCATTTTAATGCCTTTGCGTCATAAGTATGAAAATACATTAATATGGAACTATACACATGTTTTGAGTGGTCCCTGTTATGACACTCCATCCACAGAAGGGTCCTTGACATATGAACCATTTTGTGGTTGAATTTTCAGCAAAAATAACTACATTGTGATAAAGGGTTTGACATATTTTCCATCTCTGAAGTGAACTGACCTGGCCTGCCCAACCCTGTGACTACCAAAACCATCTAAAAGTGTAACCTGCATGCACTCCATTTTCACAATAAGATCACAGTTTTATCATCTCCTCCCTTTTATTTGTCACATACATTTTAATGGAATGAGCGACTCTCTGGGGCAGTCACTCACTCCATGTCCTGCCACATATGTCTGAGAGTGTGAGACTGTGATGCAAGAGATGGACAATTCAAAAATACGCAAGCAAACAAGCACATACACTCTGGGACAAGAGGCAGTTGTTTCTAAGCAATGCTCATCTCTCTGCAATGCGTCAGGGAGGGCCTGACATAATCACTAACAGTACCAGTAGCTCTAAAACGCACCCAATCAGAAATTAAACAGAACAGTTGGATCACAGTGTGTTGCAGAGACCTTGCGACATCTGTTGTAATCAAATCATGCAGGAACAATTGAGCAATAAGCTGGAATCTTATTTATTTGATTTCATTTTATTAAATAAAATAAATATGGAAATATGATCATTCACTAAAGTCTGACTGAAAAATATAAAATAATAATTTACAAAATCATATAAAATTCCAGCTCATTGATTTATTTTTCCAACATTTGATTACATAATTGTTTATTTTATTTTTTACTTTATTCTTATTTTATTTGCGTCTTCCACCCCTCTTGCCCTATTATTGCCATCAGTTTAAACATTTTTTTAAACAGCTCTGCCTTGAATTTTATTCCAAAAATTTTCACAAACATTCATAGGAAATGTTAATGGTATCCTGCTGGGAAATTCCAGTGATTTTCTGAAAGGATGTGGAGGCTTTGTGATGTGCTGTCTAAAATTAAACAAGCCTCACTGGACTCATTTATGAAACGTGAACTTGATGAGTTCACATAGATTGGACTAATTAGAAACACCCAAAAAATATGATTTTCAAGTAAAACGTCACTTCAAAAATCTATGCAAATTTGACAGAAATGTGGCCAGAGGAAATGTAGAGAGCAAAGAATTTTTACACTCCTAGTGAATGCCTCAGTTGAAAGACTTGATGGTGCATTCAAAGACCAATCAGATGAAGGAGGTTTTAGAGTAGCTGGACTGAACTCCCGCAGACAGAGACAGTTCGAGAGAGTGGCTCCATCAGAGGACAGCTGTACTTACATCATAAGCTCCCGCCTTGATCTGCTGGTATAACTTGTGTTGATCTTCATCCCAAAATGGAGGATAGCCCACTAACAGAATGTACAAGATTACACCTGTGAAGGAAAGAAAGAGAAAAGTATTCTGATTGGCTGAAAATAAGAATATTAGATTCCTACTGACTGACAGTGTTTATTTATTTTTCACATGTACAAAGTTCCATGTTGATAGCACTACAGTAAAATATCACTTTGAGTTGTGTGTAGGCATGTGACGGTATCAAATTTTCATGTTGCGATTAATTGCGAATGCTTTTATCACGGTATATGGCATTATCACGATATTGAAATTTAGTTGCAAAAAATGTCAAAGTTTTACAGGTTTTATAACTTTTTTCTTATAACAAAAAGAACTGAACATTTAAATACAATAAAGCAATACACAAAAAATAAATTAAAACATTTCACACAGATTAAAGTGCAAAAGAATTATAAAGACCATTTACAGTGCAATCTCATAAGTTAACCTTAGTTAATGCATCAACATTAACAATGAGCAATAGCTACATTTGCTACAGAAGTTATTAAGCTTTGTTAAAAATACAACTGTAATATCTCTAAACCAGGGATCTTCAACAGTTCCTTGTTCAGTTAACAGTTTCCTTCCCAAATTAAAGCATATTAAGTATAATAAAGAATATAATGTCCAACTATATGACTCTGATCATTTTAATGCCTTTGCGTCATAAGTATGAAAATACATTAATATGGAACTATACACATGTTTTGAGTGGTCCCTGTTATGACACTCCATCCACAGAAGGGTCCTTGACATATGAACCATTTTGTGGTTGAATTTTCAGCAAAAATAACTACATTGTGATAAAGGGTTTGACATATTTTCCATCTCTGAAGTGAACTGACCTGGCCTGCCCAACCCTGTGACTACCAAAACCATCTAAAAGTGTAACCTGCATGCACTCCATTTTCACAATAAGATCACAGTTTTATCATCTCCTCCCTTTTATTTGTCACATACATTTTAATGGAATGAGCGTCTCTCTGGGGCAGTCACTCACTCCATGTCCTGCCACATATGTCTGAGAGTGTGAGACTGTGATGCAAGAGATGGACAATTCAAAAATACGCAAGCAAACAAGCACATACACTCTGGGACAAGAGGCAGTTGTTTCTAAGCAATGCTCATCTCTCTGCAATGCGTCAGGGAGGGCCTGACATAATCACTAACAGTACCAGTAGCTCTAAAACGCACCCAATCAGAAATTAAACAGAACAGTTGGATCACAGTGTGTTGCAGAGACCTTGCGACATCTGTTGTAATCAAATCATGCAGGAACAATTGAGCAATAAGCTGGAATCTTATTTATTTGATTTCATTTTATTAAATAAAATAAATATGGAAATATGATCATTCACTAAAGTCTGACTGAAAAATATAAAATAATAATTTACAAAATCATATAAAATTCCAGCTCATTGATTTATTTTTCCAACATTTGATTACATAATTGTTTATTTTATTTTTTACTTTATTCTTATTTTATTTGCGTCTTCCACCCCTCTTGCCCTATTATTGCCATCAGTTTAAACATTTTTTTAAACAGCTCTGCCTTGAATTTTATTCCAAAAATTTTCACAAACATTCATAGGAAATGTTAATGGTATCCTGCTGGGAAATTCCAGTGATTTTCTGAAAGGATGTGGAGGCTTTGTGATGTGCTGTCTAAAATTAAACAAGCCTCACTGGACTCATTTATGAAACGTGAACTTGATGAGTTCACATAGATTGGACTAATTAGAAACACCCAAAAAATATGATTTTCAAGTAAAACGTCACTTCAAAAATCTATGCAAATTTGACAGAAATGTGGCCAGAGGAAATGTAGAGAGCAAAGAATTTTTACACTCCTAGTGAATGCCTCAGTTGAAAGACTTGATGGTGCATTCAAAGACCAATCAGATGAAGGAGGTTTTAGAGTAGCTGGACTGAACTCCCGCAGACAGAGACAGTTCGAGAGAGTGGCTCCATCAGAGGACAGCTGTACTTACATCATAAGCTCCCGCCTTGATCTGCTGGTATAACTTGTGTTGATCTTCATCCCAAAATGGAGGATAGCCCACTAACAGAATGTACAAGATTACACCTGTGAAGGAAAGAAAGAGAAAAGTATTCTGATTGGCTGAAAAAAAGAATATTAGATTCCTACTGACTGACAGTGTTTATTTATTTTTCACATGTACAAAGTTCCATGTTGATAGCACTACAGTAAAATATCACTTTGAGTTGTGTGTAGGCATGTGACGGTATCAAATTTTCATGTTGCGATTAATTGCGAATGCTTTTATCACGGTATATGGCATTATCACGATATTGAAATTTAGTTGCAAAAAATGTCAAAGTTTTACAGGTTTTATAACTTTTTTCTTATAACAAAAAGAACTGAACATTTAAATACAATAAAGCAATACACAAAAAATAAATTAAAACATTTCACACAGATTAAAGTGCAAAAGAATTATAAAGACCATTTACAGTGCAATCTCATAAGTTAACCTTAGTTAATGCATCAACATTAACAATGAGCAATAGCTACATTTGCTACAGAAGTTATTAAGCTTTGTTAAAAATACAACTGTTAGTTCATGTTAGCTTGGGTTCATTAAATAACACAGTAGCAACTTTTGATTTTAACAGCGTGTTATTAAATATTGAAATTAAGATTAATAAATGTTTAGAAGAATATTTCATTGGCAGTTTAACTAATGGAGCCTTAATGTAAAGTTTGACCCAACAAAGAATCAAAACCTTTTCAAACAGTATCTAGGGCATGTTGTAGTCCAGATTAAAATGTACAAAAAGTTTTAAAATAAATAGCCTATTAAGTCGATGTGAAGAACACTGTAGCGAATACAAAAATCTTAATGGCTATTTAAATCATTTAAATATGTTTCGGAAAGTAGCGCAGCTGCTTTGTTCGCGGGGTTTGGGGTAACGGCTGCATTTCTGCTGTTTAGCACCATCTGCTGTCAGAGAGTGAATGTGCGCTTTCATTCAGTGCGTCTCTTTCACGTGTTCCGCCATGAGCTTCTCCCAAGCTTGTTTACATCAGAGTGCGCACGCATCTTTTTTGAAGCAGCATACAGCTGTGTTGTGCATTGTGACCAGTTGATGGGGAAATTATTCTTAAAATGCATTAAGAAAATCTGAATAATTTTTTAATAATTATTCATGGTAATTTTAAGTTTTCAAAAAGGGTTCAAAAGGGTTTAAGGTTCAAAAAACACATTATTTTCCACATACTGTACGGTTTCTCCTCTATGCCCCACCTTTCTGAAATGCAGTGATTTTTACAAAGCTCATTGTTCTGAAAAGCGAGGTGTGCTCTGATTGACCAGCTACCCAGTGTGTTGTGATTGGCCGAATACCTCAAGCGTGTGACGGAAATGTTACGCCCCTTACCATATTGTGATGCCCTGTCCCAGAGCGACGAGACAAAAACATTAAAGCCCATTATAAACTAGGCATTTGTTGCATCCAGTGGGTACATAATTATGGATTATAATGACTTATTACTGTCCTTTTACGCGTTGCATCACGCCGCATAACATAAAACCATATCTGCATTTGTGATCGTAGAAATGACAAACAACAAGTGCTACTCTACACTGCTCAAAACGCGCGTTTGAATCATCAGTGGCAAAAACAGTCTTCCATAAAATGCGCTACACTCTTCTGAATATTTGGTTTGAACTGTTCTGGAACAGTGTTGTAAATACAACTTAACCACTGATTTCTAGTCGTGTCCTCTTTTGGAAGGCCAAACAAAGTATTTTCGCTTTCGCAACGAAACACACAGCGTCTTCACAACATGGCGGCGGCAGCAACAATAAAGTTACGCCTTCTTTCTTTGCTTGAACATTTGGGCGGTTTTATGCAAATCTTCGCACATCGTGACGTAGACATGTGGGGGCATGGACCAGTCTTAACTTTTATAAAGAATATCTCTTTGGGTTTGAGACTTTAGTCTTTGCAACTTTAGGGATCTTATCTATTCACAAACAGCTTGTAACACTCCAAAGAAAAAGGAAAACTTGAAATCGCATCATATGACCCCTTTCAGTCCAAATGGTAATTTGTTTTGTAATAATGTTTTACATAAAACCCCAACCCTATTAACTAGTACCTAATCATCATCTTGTTACTTCATGTGAAACTTGCAGCCTTAACCTGACTGACGTCCTTGTTTCAAGCGATGGTTAAGTGCTTCACTCAATATTTGCTTCAAAAAGCATGTATTCCAAAAGACTGTGTTGACAAACAGATCTACCGTACATTTAAACCCTATTTTCTGCTGAGTTCAGCAGCAAAAACAGGCTTGGTGCCGAAACTCTACTCAGCACTGCACTGCGAACTTAAGCAGTATGAATACTACAACCTGTTAATTCAGCAAGCAGAATGAATATGCAAGAGGTCTAATGATTAAAGACCCTGTTGAAAACTCACCACAGGCCCAGATGTCCACAGGTTTGCCGTAGGGATCCTTCCGCAACACCTCTGGAGACAGGTAGCCAGGTGTGCCAGCAAAACCTGTGACAAAAACAGGTTGAATTAACCATTCTGTACTCTGAGAATAAGATTAAGTGGATTCAAACCACAGGCGCCTGTAGGCAAAGTAGCTCAGCCAATTAATATTCACTGAAATGCTAATAATTCCAAGCAGGTGTGTGTGGATAGTTTGATAGATGGACTTTTCCATACGCCAGAACCATTTCGAGCCAAAATGGTGACGTGCCAAGATGGCTGCCTCCCTCCAGCACTGGCACGGCTGAAGCGGGCTGGAAATAGGTGGATTTTAAACAGCTGCGGTAACATAATTCTGTGCTGTCCAATCATATAGCTTGTATACAACAATTATTCCTACTCGCAAGGCTTTGCTCTTCACAAAACTCTGCATACTTCAGTCAAAACAAGATTACCTATTTAAATCTAAAGAAAGCTGTACTGATACTTGATTAGCACTAAAGCAACAGCTATCTCATGGTAACAGAAATAAGCAGCCGCCAGTAGGGGGCCACAAGGCCCAAGAGAACCCTGCCTGACGGTTTCATCCAGTAGAGACAGCTCAGGAGAGGCATTTTCATAGCTAAAGGGTCTTTCACACACCGACAGGAATGATTGTGAAAGCTAAACATGAAATGGGCTAAGATTGGCATTCGGCACAGCCTGAAAATAAGCCTTTACGGCCATTCCAATCCATTTCAGACCAGAGGTAATGGAGCGGGAAATGTGGCAACATCCTTTTAAGATAAACTAAAAGAACATTACAAGAGGGAATCAGCACAGAAAATCCTCACTAATATAGAAAATCCTGTCAAATCTAAAGCAACAGTAGTAAAAATACAAAAATGTGTGGAAAGTCTAAAAAGTATTCACAATTGGTCAAAACCACCCACAACATCCTAGCATAATGGGGACAAGCACCACATTTAAATCTAAAAATCCATCAAGACATGGATTTTTCGAGCACATCAAGAGTAAGGAAACACCAGAACTACATACTAGCATGTATTTTAGCATGCTGTCTTACAGGATTGGAATCAAACTGAGGGGAATAATAAATGAGAGCAGGAAACTTGCTGTTCTTTACCAAACCAGGCCTGCTGATCTCCCTGCACCTCGATGGCCAGCCCAAAATCAGCCAGTTTCACTGCCGCTCCTTTCATCTTACTGGCCAACAGCAAGTTCTCGGGCTGAGGAGGAAAACAGAGGAAGCCTTTAACACTCTCAAACATTTCAAATGGACTGAAAAGAGAGGTTAAAAAGATACTCTAGGATTGACAATGCCCAGCGTGTGGTGCAAAGCTGGATATTTTACTGGTGGTGAATGTTAAATCTAATGGAACGTTTACACTGACAGCAATTTGTAACATCAAAGCAACTAACACCACTTAGTCAGAGTTTAAGCAATTTCTACAAATACAATCTAGCTATATGCCAAAAAACTGAGAAATGCAAGTTTATGCAATGTGCAGCTACGTGATGTGGCGACTACCAATTTACTTGTCAAATAAAGATTTTCATTACTGTAATTTTTAATTAATAAAGGTATTACAATAAAAACATTTTAACCAAAATAACATACACAACCATTCAAAAGTTTGGCTTTGGTACAGATTTTGAAAGAAGTCTCTTATGCGCACCAAGACTGCCTTTATTTGATCAGTAAAACAGTAATACTGTGATATTGTGTAAATATTACTGAGGTTAAAAATTCAAAAATTAATTTATTCCTGCGATGCAAAACTGAATTTTCAGCATCATCACTCTAGTATTCGGTGTCACATGATCCTTCAGAAATCACTGAAAGCACTGTTGTGCTGCTTAATTTTGTAGAAACCATGATACAATTTTTTCACAATTCTATGATGAATAGAAAGAGCAAAAGAATTTATTTAAAATGTAATTATAAATATCTTTACCGTCACCTTCAATCAGTTTAATACATCCTTGCTGCATTAAAAGCATTAATTTCTTTAAAAAAAAATATTAACCCAGACTTTAGAACAGTAGTGTGTCAATTTTAAAAATTACAGTAGTGAGAATATGATGAGAATTAGAAAAAAATGTGTTTAATTAATTGTACTAAACATAATGATACAAAAATGATTAATTTTCTTTTCATTTTCCTTTTTTTTAATTTGAAATATGACTGAGACATGAATTTAAGTTCACCAGTAACATTAAGACATCCAGCAGAAGTAACACTAACAAAACCAACAATACAGACACTTTGCGACCTGCAACACTGTCAGTGTGAACACTCATTTAAAAAAAGTACACCACAAGCAGATGTGCAGATGTGTCAGAGCCAAACCTGCTCAGTAGGATATGACAGATTTTGGGGGTCAAAGATCTCTCCACAGGTAATTGAGTTTATACATGGCTTAAAGGTTAAGCACGACTGAATTGTGTTTGCTTTACTACCACATTTACGCTGAGGAAATATTAGGGTGGATTTCCTGCGGTTTTGTCAGTGCTCCAAATTTGAAATCAAACACAAACATGCATTAATATCCAAGAGCTTCAAGTACAAAACCAAGAGAAGAGGCCCAGAAAGATATATTAGGCACAATGGAGGGCTTTCACACTAAAATATAGGCTGGAAAAGTCGATTTCCCCTCCGTTCTCGAATACACAACTCAATAAGCTTGATTTATTAGCTGCCACACATATAACTTCTCAATGCACAGAGTTCATCCTCGAGTTCTACATTCAAGCACAGAATTCAAATGCATCCGTTATGATGATGCTGGGAAATTTATGCCCATAGGTGTGAATCTCTCACTCTCCCTCATTAAACGCACAGACTACAAATGAGGAATGGTGAGACTCGCCGTGACCCCTCCCCACATCCCTCCGTCTCTCAGGCAATACCAGCAACAGTTGTCGTATCACGTTCCTTGCTATGGCAACCAGCCTGGGCACATCTCTGCTGCTCAGCATTGGGCTCACATACACATGGGGGAGGGCAGTGGATGTGACTAACGCACAATAGGAGGACATGATAAAACTGTGTCTGTATGCGTTATCCAAGACATGCCACCGTCAAGACAACAAGTACATTCATTTCATACATTCACATGCACTGAGACACAAAGGCAATGTGTTTGATGTTTATGCATGTACTTATATGGTAATATAATGAATTGCTTAAAGAGTACTGTTAAAAAAAAAGAAAAGAGTATTACTAGCCAATCCCAGGTTGATTCTTTGTCAACTCAACTAGAGGTCTTTTTTTCTGGTGAAAGAAATACATAAATGAAGAAGATTTTGTAGAGGGGGGTCAAAATGACAATTTTCACCTGAGATTCGGAGCCAAATTACAGGGAGCACATCTTGTGTGTATATGCTATAACTCGAAGTATTAGAGTATTATCTTAATATCCTTATATATTTTAGTTCTTAAACTTTTCTTTTGGTATCTTTATTTTTAAGGCCCTACATTGTTCATTTCCAGAGATTTCAGTGTGGCTCCTTTAGTAAATCGTTCACATTTTCAGTGGTCAAAAATCAAATGTGAGTCACTTTGCATTCAGCTGATATTTTTTTTCTTTTTAAAAGAAATGTGTGAAGTACAAATAATGTTGAAAAATCGTCATTTTGGCCCCCTACACGTTTAGAAATAAAGGTATAGAAGTTGTCACTGGGGCGGTACCTTTTCAAAAGCTTCACTTTTGTACCCATTAAGTTCAAATATGTACACTTTAAGTGCTAATATGTACCTTTAAGGTACCAAAAGTGACCCTTTAGGTACAACCATGCACCTTTTGAAAAGGTACTGTCCCAGTGACAGCTTTTGTACCTTTATTTCTGTGAATGTACTTCGTAAATGCAGATCCATGACATTTAATATTTTGGATTTCATCACTATTTATTTTTCTTTCTTCTTCAAAAAAAAATTTAGCTGGGGAAGTTTCTCAAATTTGGTTGATTTGACATGTAATGACCCAAAAGTCTTTGTAGCAAGTATCTGATTATGAAATTAAACAGAAATGAAAAAGCAGAAGTATGTACGATCATGTGCTTTCACATGCAGTCTTAAAGGATTGAAATCAAACGAAGGGGAACATTGTTGTACGTGCATATCTGTGTGTTTGTGAGGGGCAGGGCAGGGCAGGGCATTGACTTGGAAACCCTCAGAGGCAGGCCGGTTGCCATGTGTGTAGTTGTTGTTGCGACAGACTCTCGCTCACCTTAAGGTCTCTGTGCACGATGTCATGCTGGTGAATATGATTGACACTCTCCAGGATCTGATTGATGCATTGGCTGAAAAACAGAATAATAAATCAATCAGTGGAAGAGAAAGATCATAAGGATAAGTGAGAGGGTGAGATAAGGCTAAATATTGATTTTAACCATTTATTTGTACTGTATACAAAAGTCTGTTTCCTTAAATTTACCATCTTTTTACTTAACTTTGCGATCTCTGAAAGGTGCAGTTTTCCACAAGTTATATGGAATAATTTAACAGTTTGTGTGTGTGTTCTTTTGAGAACCTGACAGCCCCTGGTTAATGCTCTTTTCAGATGTAAGAAAGAAACAAAAAAAACTAATAGACTCTTCAAAATTTCTCCTTTATGCCAAAGAGGGAAAAAAAGCCATATGGGTAGCTGTAGGGAACAACATTTTCATTTTTGGGTGAACAACACCTTTGAAAATACACTATATTTAAATAGTATTCTGCAGTTGATACCAGATATAATACAGTTTATATTAAAATTGCCAAACAAGAAATGCTTCCACAAAAATAAATCATATTAAAGTATATTACCGAAAATCAGTTATACAGTCTTATATTATACAGTCATTTTGTAAAGAAATAAAGTCTAAGCTTAAGCTTGATTAAAATTAATTGATTACAGTAAAGTTAATCAACAGCGTCGGCTTGACAATTCAATTAAGCAATTAAATTAAACACCGTGACTGGATAATTGATGCTACATATGAATGTACCACTGCTGCTTTAACAGACAGAGCTGGGGTCAAGTGTAATGTGACTGAGGCACAAAAGGTGAGCTGAGCAGGGGATTGTGTGCTAGCTGGGGTGGGCGTTACTCTTGGAAAAGTGCCTCACCCTCAGACAGGTACACACACATGCACACGCGTTATCTCATCCCTCTTAAAGCTGTAATCCTATAACAGAATGTTATAGAGGCCTAACCGGGACAGATGAACCAGAATGAACGTGTGTGTGTGTGTGTGTGTGTGTGTGTGTGTGCGCGCATGTGTGTGTTTAAGTGTTGCTGTGGTGTCATGCTACTTTATAGATACTTAGTATTAATGTGAAATTATGCATGACTTCCTTTAGATCCTTATTGAATTTGTTCTGAGGAAATGGCACAGATGATGGTTGGGACATGAATGTGTACATCAGACTTCTCGACATAGGTCACTTGTAGGCTTAAGCAAAACAGATTTTAAACAATAAATTATATTATATTATATTGCATTATATCAACTTGACATTTGCTGTGTATTTAAATTGCTATATAAATTATTATATTACTACGCTGTCAATCTGTTTTGTTCAATCAAACCATAGTAATTATTATATTATATTATTATAAACTTGACCCGTGCAGACTCATACCATGTATAATATATCAAATTTCCTATTTGCTATTTAAATTATTATACTAAGTAATAAGTTATCCATGATATCCATTATAATAAGTTATCCATGATTTTTCTATAATATAATATAATATATAAATTGTTTTAAAGCAAAAAAAAATAATAATAAATACATGTATAATATATCAAATTTCCTATTTGCTATTTAAATTATTATACTAAGTAATAAGTTATCCATGATATCCATTATAATAAGTTATCCATGATTTTTCTATAATATAATATAATATATAAATTGTTTTAAAGCAAAAAAAAATTATAATAATAAAAATATATATATATTACATTCATTATTATAATTAGAATTATATTAATTCCAGTGACAACAAGCAACTTGTCATTTTACAATGCCTTGTTAGGACATGCCACAAGGAACGAGTGAGTGAAAATGGAGTATATGAGATAAGAAAGTAGACCGATAAAGACCGTTGAGTATATTAATGTTATAAAAGAACACAGAAGCTATTTGCCCAAATTTGGTTAAATTTTAAGCCCAGCATTCCATTTTCAGGACAGCACAAATCCCACTGGACACAAAAGACCTGTCTCTCTCTATTTCACACACATATAGAGTACATGCACATACATACACACAAATAAGACAGCTGATCTCTTAATAAAACACCTCTTTTCCCCACTCACCCTCTTTTTATCTGTCTTTATCTATGTGATATCAAAGCTCTAAACTGGCATCATGCAACTCATGTAAACCAAATTTACCATGAACTCCCGTATGAGCGCATTAAAGCACAGCTAACTGCTGGAGGGTGTTTGTGTTGGATGCCTGGGGCTTTAACTTAGAATCAGAGTCCCTCAGAGACTTACACACTCGCTGGTGGTTCCTGAAGACACTGTTCAAAGTGTGTCATTTCTATGTTACCAGATTTTCCACTTTGAGAAAGCTGTTTAGGAAGAATCTTCATGTTTGCCGTTCAGTGGCAGTACTGTTAGTGCTGCAGAAGTGATGCACTCGAGAGGAGGGGCCAACAGAGGCCAAATGGATGCGCTTTTGTGTGGCACCTGTTGATTGCCAGTTCTGCAACTCCACCATCATTAAAGGCTTTCAGTTTTTCTCACAAAAGGGATCGTCCTCTCCCTGTGCTTTTGACTCAGATGTAAGTGTGTGTGTGTGTGTGTAAGTGTGACCTGCTCACTGCAGGCTGCAGCACAGTAACCACAGCAACAGTAAATTTATATATATTAAGCAGCACTGTTTTTTAACTAATAATAATAAGAAAAGTTTAATGAAAGTTTAATTGAATCAAATCAGCATATCAGAATGATTTCTGAACGATCATGTGACTAGGGCTGGGTATCGTTCAAAATTTTTCGATATGGATACCGATACCGATACCTTCACTTCGATACCGGTTCCTGAACGATACTTTTTTCGATACCAATTTTATGAAATCAATTTTAACAAGATTACATTATCTAGACTGGGAGAAAAAAAGCGTGATTTCCGTAGCCAACATAAAAAAGGTGGAAGACATGGAAATAGTTTGTCATTTTTTACCCTATTGTTTGTTATATTTATTTGCTCAATGTCTTGAGCAATGCGTAAATCCGGCCCTGTTAGACGGCAATCGGAAGTTATTACAAACACTCGATGGTGGTTTAAAGTGAGTTTTGCGTGAAAGACTAATATAAATCTTATTTATTGTCTTATGTAGCATGATGCTACAGTGTGCATGAATGGTCACATAACACGCGCTTTCGGTCGTGTAACGTTAGTATGAACGGACATCTGCATATGATCGGAACTCCACGCAGCTCCCGCGCTACTCTATACTGGTGGCGTTACAGTACCACGAGAGCTAAAGAGAGCAGACTGCTCCGTGCGCTTTCGAATCGCTCTCGCAGATGATCGATCTGCGCCGCGCCTCTAGTCGAACACACCAGCAAGTGTTGCAGGCTTATTGGCTCACTGACGCTGATGAGATTAACCCCTTAGGTATCAAAATTTGGTACCAAACGACAAGACATTTTTCGATACTCGATGGTATCGAGGCAATTCGGTCGGTGCCTAAAAAGTATCAAACTCGATACCCAGCCCTACATGTGACAGAAGACTGAAGTAATAACTGCTCAAATTTTTCCTTTGCATTACAGGAATAAGTTAAATTTTAAAATATATTAAAATAGAAAACAGTTCATTTAAACAGTAGTGCACAATATAGTGTGAGGGTGGAGTGCAGTTGGCACTGAGGTGTGTACGAGACATAACAGGAACATTTGTAGCTCAGCCTTTGTTCCACGTAAATTGAGTTCCACAATGACGCCTGGAAAAATCAAAGTGCACTGGACTGGTTAAAACCAGGACACAATCAAAGAAACAACAATCTTGACAGCACTAAATCGCATTTATAGGGCCACCCAGAAATGTCTACCCATCAATTTTGCTGGCAGATCCCATCAAATTGAAGGATATATTTTTGACACCCGGAAAGGTGCATACAAGACGTTTTTGTCAAACATATTTCAGCTGCATTTATCTGCCTGCAGGAATGGGGCTTCTGACATGATTCACTGGAACAAAATGTCTTGGGTTTGATAACTTGTCCATCCTGATTCAAAAAGCGGGAAGCACCTTACAGTCTTTGAGAGTTAAAAACTCATCTGAATACAGAAACTAGCTCCAATTCAAACAAAGTTATTTTAATTTTATATACTATTATAGTATTTATTAATTTTAATTAGCTGTTATTTTTTCAGCATTTTTATTTTTAAATGTAGTTATAGTAATTCTGTGAATTTTTTTTGTCAATTTTATTAGTTACATATATATATTAATGTTGCCATATTCTATGGCAAGGTAAAGAAGAAAAGGGCAGAACTGGCTACTCCTGCAGATGAAAAAACTGCTTTGTGAAATTTCATACATTAAAAAGGTGATCTTTCAAGGATTATGGGGGACTGGAGGGATGGGGGGGGGCTCATGTTCATAGTCTTCCTCTCATAAGATTGCGTAACGCTGAATTTTCATGAACTGCAATGTTTTTGGCTTTATGTCAATGTTTTATGATACATGATATACAGTATTATATTTGTTTTAACTGTATAATTTTGCAGTTTAAATAATATTCATGAAAAATGTAATGAAATTAAATTATAAATCATTATTCAGCAAAAAAGAATGGAATAAATAAAAGCACACGTAGCTGGAAATATGTATAAGGTGTCAATTATAAGTACTGTGTTAAAGCTTATAATAGCACCAATTGAATCAACACAAACAACATTTCTGAGAAAAAATATTAACTATAAGTAAGCTTACACTTATTCTAAGTTAGATCCACTATTGTATCCTGTTGCCATATGGCAACATATCACAAAGTACCTTAAAATAATATTTTTTTCCCCAAATTTTTTTTACAGCACTTCAAGTTAAGCCATTCTTAGAAAAGAAAAATATTTAAATATTTTTTTCTATAGGTCTATCATAATACGTGCGGTAGAGGGTTAAATTGTTTATTTATGAGGTTTCATTTCAGTTAGAATGCGGTCTTAAAAGGCAGTTACCTATGTAGGTAGCGAGATAGCTCACTGGGTTTTGAAACAGAGCCTATATTATTATCATCATGTCTCAAGTTACAGTACAGCATATACTGCTGAGTCACACGGCACAGATGTGTGTGTTTGTGTGTGAGTTTCGGTCATACTCACAGGTCAAAGACCAGGTAATGGAAACCTTCTTCTGAGATACTGTCATGGAGCCGAACTGGGGTTGAAAAGACACAACAGGAGAATCAGCATTAAACACAGAGATAATGCATTATGAAAGCAAATGTTTTTAATGAGAGGGAAATCTTGAGCATTCTTCGCTCCATCACACAGCGTTCATAACAACATCTGATGAAAACATGCGGCATAAGTTCAATTACACGCTATTATAGTGTCACGCTTACAATTATGAAGCACGTTTACAGACCTAAGTTAACCATAATGAGCACATGGCCAAATAAAATATCAAAAAGAGGATCCATCGAAAAGAGAGAGAGAGGATGGATGACAAGCTCACTTATGTACACAAGCAGTGTGTCACGTAGACAGTGACACACACCGAGTGTATTGGGTTGGGGGTTGGATGGAGAAAGAGAGAGTGAGAGAAAAATAAGGAGAGAGTTGAGTAAACACTGCCCAGAATAGCAGGGGCCTTATGAGAGCGCTGAGAGAAAGAGCAACATAGCAACTAGTTGAAGGAGGGAGGGAAAGAGACAGAGGGTAAATAACAGAGGGATTGAGGCAAATCTGATGCTGGAAAATACATATATTAGATAAATTACATCTACATTATTAGCTTAATGCAGCGAGTCAATAGTCCTCACAATGATTGTTTGACAAGCAAGGCCCGAGCATGTTGACACTGGGACTGCAAACACGAGCCGCCATCACGTCAGTAATTACAGAAGCTCGAGTTTAATAAAGTCCTAAACATTCAGAGAGAGGTTAAATACAGTGTACTCTGTAAAGCGAGGTATACCGATATTAAGCAAGAAACAATGTATGACAAAACTGGAAGCCATTTAAGTGGATGGAAACACAGTTGGCTGCAATAATAATAATTAATAATAATAATAATAATAATAATAATTTGAAGTGTGGAACATCAGTATCAAAAATTTAATTTAATTAAATTTAATTCAAATATAATTATTATAGTAATAATATATAAATTCTTGCAACCAAGACAGGAGAAATGTTCAGGAAACCTGTTTGAATTTTTTTTTTTTGCAATTTTG